GGAGGAGAAGGGCTGAGCGTGCCGAACGTGAGAGGCTGGAACGAATGCAGGCTCGGCAGCAGAAGCGTGTGGAGGAGGTTCGGCAACAGCAGGAGCAGGTGGGGGTTCTACCAAGAGCAGTGCCTTTATTCTTCATACTTTGTGATCATTTTGCTTCGTGCTTGGCATTCTTCTCATTCTTCATCCTTCATCATTCCTTGATTGTCCAGCACCAGGGATGGCCCTGCCTCTGCTGCTTTTTCCCGCTGCTCTTGCCTGCTGCGCAGTGTTTCTGCTTTCCTCTTGCCGTCCTCTCGTCCTCGGGTTACCGTGTGTGTCTGTAAACCCTACTTCTTTGCTGTTCCCTTTGTTCTCTTCATGTGCACCGAGCAGCAGGCCTTGAGGAGCACCTGAGGGCACCTGAGAAGACTAACCCTGTCAAGCACCTGGCAGGCTAACATGCGTGCTCGTTTCTTTCCCATTTTCGTCTCTGCTCCCACCTCCCTGCTGCCGCACTTGCTCTTTTTTCAGGTGGAGCGGGCATCTGGTCTAAAGGAGCAGCTCAGGGCATCTGTACATGCAGACCTTGTCAAGCGCCTGGCAGGGTGCCGTGACTTTGCGTCAGTCTTGGATAAGATCGGGATCAAAGTTGATGGCATGCCGCAGCCATCGATTCAGCAGGTGAGAAATAAGCTCTCCTTTTCCGCACTACTCTTTCCTCAGTCCTTGATGTTTCGCCCAATCCTATGTTAGCAGTACAATGGGTGCTATACCAATCGACGAGCGTTCCGACTCGTTCCACGTATTTGTTGCATGCTCCCTCGTCCCGTTTCCCACTCCTCCTGCCTGGCAGGTTGAAGCATCTTTCAAGAAGGCACTGCTTCGGTATCACCCGGACCGGATGGCAAGGCTCGGAGCAGGCGCGGACGTTCGGAAGCAGGTAGAGGCCGAGGAGACGTTCAAGATGATGCTGGAGAAGAAGAAAACACTTCCGCTTGTTGCACCACCTGCCCCACCTGTTGCTGCACCATCTTACCCGGAATATGATCTGCCTAGGTTCCATAAGAAGTTTGGTAGGAGGCGTTATTACTATTGAGCAGCAGAATGTATGTTGAAGCAACTTCTAAGAAGGCACTGCTACGGTATCATCCGGACCGGATGGAGAGGCTCGGAGCAGGAGCGGACGTTCCAAGCAGGCAGAGGGAGAGGAGACGTTCAAGAAAACACTTTCGCTAATTGCACCACCTGCCCCACCTGCTGCTGCCCCAGCTTACCTGGAGTTTGGTCTGCCCAAGTATGTCACAAGTTCGGCAGGAGGTGTTATCACTACTAAACAACAGTGTGTACCGTATTACTAATTTTCTGACATTGCATTGTGTGCTTGGGAACATTCCATTTTTCGGTCATTGTCATACTACATTGAAGTGCATTAACTGATAAACATAATCAACTAGAAAATGCATGACTTGCCCTATGTTATTAAACACTTGGTATGGAAAGGCATAATAACAAGTACACTATAACGAGCGACTACACCCATACCCGTCCTTCCCAACCAACCCACCTCGTGGCACCGAATCACAGTTTCGCAATGAGGTCGTCGTACACGCGCTATCCGACAGGCGTCGTCGCACACGCGTCAAACGCACCGAGCTTGAACCTAGCATCACAATTGGCTGTCTTACCGTTTTGGAACGTGATGAAAACTTCTAAATCGCAATCACGGAACTTTCACATATGCTCTCTCGACTTGCCAAGGAAATGAAGGATAAGGGTAGTACATAACTCATCCTCTTAGTATCGCACCATACGCTGACGCGTTGTGTAGCCAGCCGAATCGGCGCGGCACGGCGGCTATATGGCGGCAATGGCGCAGCTGCCTCCCCGCATGTCACCGCTGCTGGCGGCGACTCAGCTTCCTCGCGTGTCCATGGCGGCGAGTCGTAGCGCCTTTGGGCGTTACATGGAACGGTCGAGCTGTGAAGGTCTATCTGGCCAGAAGCGATCCGGCCAGGAGCGCTCTGGCCAGCATGGCACCTCTCTTGCTCCTATTAATACGGCTTTGTTAGAACCTACATACATCACAACCGTTTAGCAGTAACCTAATACAAACGACAACCTAGCTTTCTGCACGACGAACAATTCCAACGGCGATAATACCGACTGTTATAGAGCGCCTCAGAGATTCCAACCAGCCCTAACCATCCAGCTCAGGACCATCATCGTCTTTAATCTCTCACACTCAACGATCAGAAAGTATACCCTTAACTCTCAAGGGCGAATCCATCCTGCAAGGCCCAGATACGTGTCTGAATCTCGAAGCAATTACCGGAAATGGCGGCGCGACTCGGAGGTGGCTTGCTATTCGTAGCAGTCATGTGCGTGGCGGCGGCGTGCGTTCCGACGAGCTGCGCGCAGCCTCCTCCGCCGACGAAGGCGCAGCTGCGCACTGAGTTGCAAAACATGGCGAAGAGCATCGTGAAGCGGTACCCGCAGTACTCGCGATACGCGCAGGACGCTACCAAATACATCAACTTTGCTCGTAAGGCCTTGCACCCGCGACTAATGGCCAGTTATTTTAAAGCACCTTTTTTTTTGTAACGATGTTGCTCGTTTCGTGTTCGTTCCCTGTTTCTCATGACCTAGCTGGCCACTTTCCCGCTTCCCCCTAACACCAAACATTACACCTTTCTGTGTCCGAAATCACTCACTGCTTTTTCCTCATTCCATCTATTCCCCAAATCCCCCCTTCCCCCTCGCCGCATCCCTGCAGTGAACTCCAAGTATGACCTGTCAGCACTGCGAGACGCCTCTATCCTCATTCCCAACAACGTGCAGGCAGAAGCCCTCGCTAAGAGAATCCCCGCTAAGAGCAGCAGCATCCCCACACTGTACAACATCACAGCCTTCCACATCCTGCGCCGCCGAATGACCCTCCCGCAGATGCGGCAGGTGAAGCTGCGGACGGCGATAGGAACTCAGCTGAGGCAGCCGCTCTTCAAGATGACGCCGATGGGAAACAACAGCGCTGTGTCGTTTGCTAGAGGGCCATACTTGAAGGCAGGCCAGTGGACCACCATTCGCATCCCGGGGCTGTATGTGGGGCGATGGTTCATTGCCCATGGGGTGGATCGGGTGATCATCCCCACTTACACCAAAGTATGATGAAGTAGTAATGGGATAGGAGGAGATTAGGGCTATGTCTGGCTTGAAGAATGGGAGCAGCGAGTTTTGGTATTTGAGTTTTTTTTCCTGATTTGTAGAGCTGTTGGCTGCTCACCAGAGCAGAGCATGTCATTGCAGTTCTTGCTTCACTGGACATGCCTATGCATGCAGTGCTACATTGCATCCCTATGCTGCAGCTGCAGTAATGCATAGTGTAGTACTGTCAAATGTGTAGCTTGTAGTGAGGCTTGTTTTAGGGTTACATCTGTTAGGGTTTCTATATGTACCCCAACCACATCAATGAAACATCACATTCTCTCATTCGAACATGGTATCAGCTAGTTGGATCCTATTGGATCCTGATCTTCCCGTTCCCGTTCGTTACGCCCGAGCCTCTCGTTACTGTTACGCCCGAGCCTTCCGTTAGCGGTAGATCGCATGGTCGCGCCTTCCCCCCCGCTTCTCGTCGCGTCGCGCCGCCCTTCCCCCCCCCCCCCCCCCCCCCCCCCCCCCCCCCCACCCTCCCCCTGGCCCATTGTTAAGTTTTGTTATATACCCTGCTTGCTGTGTGTTCTAGTGTAGCTACAGTGGTGGTGCACCAATGTGCTCACCTTTCTTTGCTATATCTTGTAACCTTGCTGTAGTGAACCTCACCTTCCTGTTTCTCTCGCTCACGCTACCCCAAACCCTAAGGCTACTATTCTGACATGGTACAGAGCTGGTTCTTTCCCGGAACCTTCTCTTTTTTTTAAGAATCATGGGCCCGCCCGTACTACAGCGCGAAATGCGCTATTTTTTTTTCTCCCCGTTCGCCCGTCGCGCGCGCCCTGCCCGTCCCCCCGAACGTGCCACGTCGGCTGCCTCGCGGACGCCCCGTCGGCTGCCCCGCGGACGCCCTGCCCGTCGCCCGCTGCCCCCCCCGTTTCGTCGCCACGCGGCCCCCATTTCGTCGCCACGCGGCCCCCGTTTCGTCGCCCCCGTCACCCCGCAATCCGCCAGCGCGGAGGCCAGCGCCGCGGCCAGCCGCCAGCGCCAGCAGCAGCTACCGCCGCCCCCCCCCCGCCCTCCCTTCCGCGGCTTCCGTCGTGGGGAGGGGGGAGGGAGGGGGAAGGGGTTGTGGGGGGGGGCGGGTGTGAGGAGCCTGCCACTCCTCCCTCCCTTTGTCAGAATCCCAGTCACTAACCACTGGGATAAAAGGGCTTGTTTATATAGCGGGTGAGTGCGCCCATAACCCCCAGGCCGACATGCCTGTAACCCTTCCCTAGGATCATCGGGGATCTCCAGTGGACCTCTGACACCCCCCCGCACTGGGATGCCCGAAGTGCACACACCGGGAATCGAACCCGAGACCTTCGCTCTGATACCATGTCAGAATCCCAGTCACTAACCACTGGGATAAAAGGGCTTGTTTATATAGCGGGTGAGTGCGCCCATAACCCCCAGGCCGACATGCCTGTAACCCTTCCCTAGGATCATCGGGGATCTCCAGTGGACCTCTGACACCCTTCCCTCTTCCTCTCTCCCTGCAGCAACTGTTGCTGTAGGGGGGGGGGGGGGAGAGAAGTGCAGAAGGGTGAGGGGGTGGCGGGAGAAGACAGGTGCGGAAGGTGTGAGGTTGACGGGGTTGAGTGACGAGGGGGTGAGGACTAGGGGGTTCTTAACGGGGGGGGATCGCATTGAGCGTGCGCGCTCATGCCCGCCTAGCCCACCTCCTCTCCTCATCGGGACTTGGGGGTTCTTAACGGGGGGGGATCGCTATGAGCTTTCGCGCTCAAGCCCGCCTAGCCCACCTCCTCTCCCTTCCCTCTCTCACCTCCCCTTTGTAAAAGGAGGTTCGTAAGCGGGTCCGCCGGTCCTGGCCCCCCACCTCCTCTCCTCTCCTCTCCTCTCCTCTCCTCTTTCCTAACCTCTCTACCTTCTTCCGCTGCGCCATGTGTACCTGTACTAGTTATCACGGCAAGCAGGTTAAGGGGGTGTGTTAAGTTTTGTTATATACCCTGCTTGCTGTGTGTTCTAGTGTAGCTACAGTGGTGGTGCACCAATGTGCTCACCTTTCTTTGCTATATCTTGTAACCTTGCTGTAGTGAACCTCACCTTCCTGTTTCTCTCGCTCACGCTACCCCAAACCCTAAGGCTACTATTCTGACACCCGTCGCCCTGGCCCGTCGCCCTGGCCCGTCGCCCTAGCCCCGCCCTAGCCCGTCGCCTAGCCCGTCGCCCTAGCCCGTCGCCGTGCCCGCGCCCTAGCCCGTCGCCCTAGCTCGTCGCCCTGGCCCGTCGCCCTGGCTGCGCCCTAGCCCGTCGCCCTGGCCCGCACCCTAGCCCGTCGCCCTAGCCCGTCGCCCTCCCCGCGCCCTAGCCCGTCGCCCTCGCTCGTCGCCCTGGGCCGTCGCCCTGGCTGCGCCCTAGCCCGTCGCCCTAGCCCGTCGCCCTGGCCCGCGCCCCAGCCCGTCGCCCTGGGCCGCGCCCTAGCTCGTCGCCCTGGCCCGTCGCCCTGGCTGCGCCTTAGCCCGTCGCCCTAGCCCGTCGCCCTGGCCCGCGCCCCAGCCCGTCGCCCTGGCCCGCGCCCTAGCCCGTCGCCCAGGCCCGCGCCCCAGCCCATCGCCCCAGCCCGTCGCCCTGGCCCGCGCCCTAGCCCGTCGCCCAGGCTTGAGCTCTAGCCCGTCGCTCAGGCCAGCGCCCTAGCCCGTCCCCCTGGCCCGCGCCCTGGCCCGTCGCCCCAGCCCGCGCCCTCGCTCGTCGCCCTTGCCTGCGCCCTAACCCGTCGCCCAGGCCCGCGCCCCAGCCTACGCCCTACCTCTGCCGCCCGGCGCCTTTGCCCTACCCGCTCGACGCCCCTGCCCTAGACCGCTCGCGCGCTCCTCCCCTAGCCCATGTGCACCTGCCCTAGTCCGCCCGTACGCACCTGCTCTTCCCACCCGTTCCCCCCTGTCTTACCCGCCCGCTGCGACCTGCCTTCCTAGCCTGTTACGCCTGTCGCTGCGCCCTGCTTTCCCTGCCGCTTCGGTTTGCGAACAATGGCGACACCTCGCGTCCTTCGTTTCGATGCTGACGGTCGCCCGCTCGATTTCTCGGTCTGGCTCCTCCGCGCGCGTCGCCTGCTAGAGAGTCAGGTCCAGTCGGGAGAGACCCTCTGAGCACACGTTGCTGGTGTTCTTCCTGCGCCCCCCGACCCCACGCCATTAGGCCCGAACCCAGACGACACTGCCAGCGCCCGCTTTGACCGCCAGCGTGCCGCTCTTACGGCGTGGACGTCGCGTGACGCTGCGGCCTGCATCGCCCTCAGCAGCCTCCTCCCTGAGTCTGAGGAGGTTCACTTCACTCAGGTTCGCTCTGCTAGCGAGTTCCTGACTGCGCCCACTACGCTACTCCCGCCACTGTCTCTCTTGGTCGTCTTTTCCTCCCGTTCCTGTTCCCTGATCTCGCTTCGTTTGAGCGCTCAGCTGACTTGGTCGCTCACCTCCGCTCGCTTGACTCTAGCTACCGCGCTGCTTGCACTGACGCACAGCTCGCACTGCTCCCTCCCCCGATGGCGATTACTATCTATTTCATCGCCACTAGCCTCCCTGACCGCCTTGCCTCTGTTCGTGACGCGCTTCTTCTGAAGCACCCTAGTGAGCTCACTATCGAGGTCCTTGAGTCCGCACTCAAGGACGTCGAGAGCAACCTTCGCTCTGTAGCCGCTGCCTCTGGTGCTGTGCCCCCCCCACTGTTCCCACGGGTGCACGGTTCCACAGCTGCCCACCTTTACTGCCTCTCTAGCCACTGCTGCCACTGACGTCACTGCAGCAGCTGCTACGACTTCCTCGCGGTCCCGGAGTAGGGGCAGCAAGAAGGGCGGTTCGGGTTCGGGCGGTGGGGTTTGTGGGGGCAGAGCTGGTGGAGGTGACGTCGCGCGTGGAGGTGGTGGAGGAGCTGGGTCTGGAGAGGCGTCCCGAGCGGCGACCATTGACTCCCCTGCTGGCGCTAGCGACGTCCGCGTTCGTCAGTCGCCCCCTGGACTCCCGGCCGCGGCGGGTGGAGCAGCGGCGTGGTACCTGGCTCAGCGCCAGCAGCAGCAGCAGCAGCAGCCACCTCCTCATCTCCCAGCGCAGTGCTGTTCACCGTCCGTGCACCTATCAGGTTCTGACAGGTGCGCGCCGTGGCCGTTCGTGTGGCCGCACTCACCCTCCTGGTCAGTGTTTTGCTCAGCTCACTGACACGGTTCGCTTGGCCTACGGGGTTGGCGGTCCTGCCCCTGACTGGCTTCCTCTTGTGTCGCAGCACGGCTCCGCTCTGTGGGGCATGTCCGCTGCGCAGCTTGTTGATCTGTTAGGAACTCTTCCTGCTATGTATGCTGTTGTTGACTCTAGTGTTTCTGACTCTGTTTACTCTGGTGTTGTTAGCTTAGGTGCTAGCCTTGCTGAGTTGCCTGTTGCTAGTGTAGGTTCTTGTTTAGACACTAGTACAGCGACTACCTCGGAGGACGCGTCACTGTCTTTCACACTGGACTTTGGAGCCTCGCACTGCTTCTTCCGCGACCGCACGACACTCACACCTCTACCGGCGCCCGTTTCTGTGGCGCTAGCTGATCCCACCTCGGGACCAGTCCTTGCGCGCCATACTACCACTCTTCCGTGCCCTGCTGCTTCTTCCGGGTCCCTTACCGAGTTTCACGTCCCCTCGTTCTCGAGGAACTTGGTGGGCGTACGACCCCTTGTGAGCCAGCACGTGGGTGTGTGGTTTTCGGGTGAGACAGCGGTGTGTGTTGACGAGGGCTCTTACCGGCCCCTTGCCACCTTTACAGCTGAGCCGGGCTCCGGTCTCTACACCCTCCACACGCGCCCTGGTGAGCAGCAGCAGCAGCAGCAGCCGCAGCAGCAGCAGCAGCAGCCGCAGCAGTCGCAGCAGCAGCAGCAGCAGCAGCAGCCGCCGCCGTGGGAGCCCCTCCTCCCGACCCCTGTCCCTTCCCCCTGACTCCTCTCTGCGTCGCACCAGGTTGTTCCGTCCCCTCAGGTAGT